ATATACAAATTACATGCAAGTTAGAACTGACTCAAAGGCCTTTAACAACAACTGTACACTTTTGAGTTCTGGTGTGGTACTGGATAATCACTGGACTGGTAACCAACCACAAGGTTGGTGGTTCAAACCCACCAGCAGCAACTTGTGCAACATATGGGGTTTGAATAGTTGGTAAGCATTTGAAAGTACTTACCAACAACAAGAGAAAACTTCAGGGTAATTACAATGGAAAATATTACATTTCCTCATCAAAATTAAGAATATAAAATGCAAAAAGACTCAAATATTAGAAAAGTAAAAGCAACTGAACTCTTTATGACTTAGCATACAAAATTAACAGAAACAAAGAAACACCTTAACACCACACACAAATACAAAAAGTGGGACATTCCCACTAGAAAGGACAAGCAGACCAGCCGGGAACAGATATAGCAACAAAAGACATATCTTAAAGAAAAATCAGCAGGAAAAATCCAAAACAAAATGGCAGTAAGATTAGCTACTACAAAAACAGCAAGTTATTCACCTGAGAGCCATCAAGGCAAGCAATCAAGTTCCTTCAGGGCAAACCCACCTTGAAGGCTGAAGCTCAAAGGGAACACATGAGCAAGCAGGCATGTTGGTCTACTGGTGAGTGGAAGAGGGGGAAAGGCAGCAATGAAGAAATAGGCTGAGTTCAGCCACTGAAATGTAGATGAGAGAAGACAAAGGGTTGGTTGGTCCAAAGTATAGTGAGACCAGGAGATTTCTGAGCCCATGGACAAGGACATAGGCCACGGAGGGCTAGAGCTGAGAGTGAGGCATCCAGCTGATATAAAGTGAGGGGAGACGCACAAGAACGCCCAAACTTGTATGTAGATAGTACCCATTTGACATAGTCTCTATGGCTTGATGATCAGAACTTGACTACAGGAAAATAAAGTAACATAACAAAAAAAGAGGAAATAAGTGCAAACTGCTACAATTTGATGAACTTGACCTATACTTACGGATGTGGTAGCTCAAAATACCAACTGAGAGGGAAGGAGTCTTCACATCAAGTAAAAATCCTATCCCCTCTGTATACAGGGTAGACAGGGACAGGAAACTTAAGACACTTGCTACCTAAAATGAGGGATGATAAAGGCACAAAGTGACTGACTGACAAGTTTTCAAGAGGGAGTTTAGTTTAAGTGTGTTGGGGGGAACGTAGAGTCCCCAACTGAATAGTTTTCATCTTGTCTAGACTGCTCTGGTAAAAGGAGATAGGGATTGGAGTCTTGCGATTTAATAGTGAGTAATTGGTGTCATGACTAATTGAGACTGTCACAATTGTAAAGGTTAAAGTTTTAACTTTACAGGGAGTAGTTAATCTTCCAGTCCTGATGATCTTCTCTGTAAAACAGAGGACCCCTAGGACCATCAAAGGAGAAAAGCTCAAACGGAATGCGGGACCCTATCCAGAGATGGAGTGAGATGAGGACATGGAGAGAGAGAGAGAGAGTTGCTAAGGACTCTAGACTCAATGAAAGAGAAAGATTGAGTGCCAGCAGACAGGAGACAGGCTTCCAGAATGGGCCCTTTCGTTGTATAAATGATTATATATTCCTGAGTGTTTCTTTCTACATCCCCTCCTTGTCAAAAAAAAAAACAAAAAACAGACACAATAGAAGCAAATACTGTTGAATGATGATGCACAGAGGAGACTGTAATCACTGCAATGAAACAATGGAGTAAAAACCAATGTTCTCAAAAATTAAAGGTAAAGAGGTTACCTTCAGTAAGTTAAAACACCATTTTTTTAGACTTCCAAATGGATAATCTTGATAAATTTTCTCAACAGGCACAGGACCATCATGGGGGCTTATAAGAAAGAAGTTTTCAGACAACTGAGAAAGATGCTAGTCAATGTTGTGTCACAGAACTTTTTTTTCATTATGACAATGTACCTGCTCATGCACAGAGGGCACGAAGGGCTGTCCCAAGATAATTTAATTGAGAAATCAAATTCTACCCACCCTACATCTTGCCACTTTGGACTTCTTTTAGTTCGCAAAACTCAGGAATCATTTAAAAAGAAAACTACTTGAGGCACTTGAGGATGCCAAACTCATTGTGAAAGGGTGTAAATCAGAATGCAGAATATTTCGAGGTATGGCTGGTGGTAGTGGTGTTCCATGGATTACCAATGCTGTAAATCTTTATGGGAGCAGGAAGCCTCATCTTTCTCCCACGAAGCTGCTGGTAGTTTTTAACTACTTAAGCCCAACTCATAATCACTATGCTAGAAGATCTCCTCTGAGGTAGGGTTAAAAGAGATAAAAACATGACTTTCAGAAGTATATACGCCCAAAAGTAATATATGTTAAGAAACAACAGCACACAGAAAGAAAAATTCTTAACACTCTAGCCATGATTGTACATTAAATTCCATAATTGCACATTAAAAACACACACACACAGCAAAACAGATGATCTTCTCTGTAAGCCTGTGTTAAATATACAATAAAAAGTTTTTTTGGAAAGTAATAATACAAATATATCAAATGGGATTAACACCAAAGATTGCAAAGGTGGTTCAACATAGGTTCAACTTTCTAAAGTCAATAAATGCAATTCACTATATAATCAAAACAATGGAAACAAACCACAATTGATGCAGAAAAGACATTTGATAAAATTCAACACCATTTTCTAGTAAAAATTCAGCAAAACAGAAATGTAAGAGTAATTTAACATACTTAAAGGCAGGCATATACACAAAAGGAAGGAAGGAAAGGGGAGGCGAGGGGAGCATGAAAGAGAAAGAGAGAGAGGAAGAAAAAGAGTAGCTCACATTATTCTCAAGGTAGAGACTGAAAAGCATTTCCCTTGAGAACAAGAAGCTGACAAGGCTGCCCATTATTGCTCCTACTCAATATTTTCCTGGAAGTCTATTGTTGTTGTTATTAAGTGAGTCTGTTCCGGGTCATAGCAGCTTGAGAGTTTAACCATTGACCTTGGGGTTAGCAATCCAGTGTTCATCCTGTAGCACCAAACACAGGACCTCAAGCAAGAAAGGGAAATAAATAGCATTCAAATTGGTAAAGAAGTAAAACTATCCCTATATTCATATGATATGATGATCCTATACATAGAAAATCCCAGAGATTCTAAAAGAAAGTTACTGGAAATGAATAGAAATATTCAGCAAAATGACAAATTCCTCTACAATAACAAGGGGAATCCTGAAATGGTGACAAGTATAGCATATTCAATTCTACAACAGTAACTACAACCAAAAATGTTAACAGTAGTTATGTCTGTAGATATGTATGCAATATGGTAAGGAAGGGTGTATGAAGAGTACTAGCACGTGTATCACATATAGGTTTAGTTGGGGCATTTGTATATACTTTTGTATGTGCAGAATATATTAAGGGAGCTTCAAAAAAAAAAAAAAAAGTTCACAGAAAACTTCTATTTATCTTTTCATCCCACTTTTCCACAAACTTTCTGAAACCCTTCATATATTCATATAGGAGATACAGTTACAGAAACTTAAGACATATCCAAACACCTCTGGGTTATTACACTTGAAGGCTAAGAACCACCTAGGTCAATTGTCATAACATAGTTTCTACAGATAATGTTTCACATCCCAATATGGTAAGTAGTATTTATTACGAGCAATCCTCTATTGGTCTCTTACTCTCTGGAACAAAGGAGAGTGAAGAAACCATAGATTCAGTAAAGAACTTGAAAACACTATTGACCTATAATTACCACAGCATCTTTCAACCAAAGACCAAAAGAAGTAGACAGTGCCTGTTACCACTAACGACCACAACTGAGCAGGATATAGAAGAAAATACAAAATCATAATAAAAAAACCAAACTTATAGGAATGGTAGACAATATGAACTCCCAAAACTAACATCCTAAGACAATCAAACTGACGCCATTCCTAGAGGTCAACTTTTAACCAAAGAGTAGATGTCATTATTAACTGAAATCCATAAGGAATATGCTCCTTAGCACAATCAACTAAGTAAGCTCAAACTGGCAACATTTGCCCAAAAGCAAAGATGACAAGTAAAGGAGGATCCGTGAAACTGGAGGAATGGAAATGAAGAAAGAGTGGAAATGGTGAGAGTTCTAAAACACTGCAGGGACAGCCACCCATGTCATGGAATATTTTACTTAATGAACTGTTGAACAGGAAACTACATAATCTGCTGCAAATCAGGAAACTAGTTTGCTGTGTAAACTTTCAGCTAAAGCACAATGCTAAAAAAATAATAATAAATACAAAATTATTATAGTGACAATATTAGTGACAGGAAAACTAAAATTACAGATTAAATCATCATTATGACTCAGTATTTAAATAATTGTCAATTAATAATTTGCTTTTCTTGAATCCCCAATCTACCTACACACATAAATCTTTTCTATCTCTACCAAAGAATCCATCTGGAATTTTGTGGAATGTAATTAAACTTTTAAATAGTTAGCATTGTCCTAACTCTTCTTTCCTCCAAACAAAACTTCGGTGTCTGACTTTATGCGATTAAGTACCTACCGAAAATAAAGCACTGTGCTTCTCCATTTTGTCACCAAAATCATGTAGTTAGCACTCCAATGCTTATTCTATAGTGCTACACCAGGACTCCACTGATAAAATTTAACATCCTTCAATCCACATGCATTGGAATCCACTCAATGGTAACAGATTTTTGTCTTTTTATTAGGGGGAGAAAGGGTATTAAATTTGCCTCCAATTAACTCGTGTAGGTAAATGGATTTTTAATAATAAGCACATTTAGGGATTTTTAAAAATTATTCAAGAGAAAAAAGACTATTTCTAATATGTTGAAACCCAGGTTTGTCTCTCAGTTCCTAAATGGCAAGTAAAATATTAGTACATATCAACGGAACAAAAATACGAACTAAGCTAGAGAAAACGAGAGCGAGAGAGTAAGACAGAGAGAGAGAGAGAGAGAGAGAGAGAGAGACATTTAAACAAAAACCATTTTTACCTTGCCTCATTAGCATTAATTGGTGTTCATGCCTAGCTGCTTCCATTTCTGCCTCTAGTTTCTCTTTGGCTTCTCTGATGTTTCTATCAACCTGCTCACGCTGCTGCTTTTCCATTTCGTCAAGAGCCTTCCATCGAGATGCGTACTCAAATTCAAATGTTCCAGGCTGAGCAAAGCGTGGAGGCTGCTCTCTTTCCCTAAATTTACATTTAAAAACATACAGAAATGTATGTTTAAAACAAAAACAACAACAACAAACAGTAAAATCAACTATCATATGTTGAGCACTTTAATCAAGGTGCTGAAACAGGCAGGTTTTTTACATGAATTACAGAAAAACCATGAGGTAAATATTACACAGATGAGTTGAAGAACTACCCAAGGATGCCAAATTAGTAAGAATAAAACCAGGATTCCTATCTAACTAAGCAATCTTATGCTATAATGTGTACTCCTCTAATTATCATTTCTAATAAAGCCAGTCTGATTTCCACTGAAATAATTTACACAGTTTAGTCTCCAAAGTATGTTTCGAAATAGATTTTCTTTCCCTAAAAGTTACTTGTTGCTGTTAAGCGCCTTGGAGTTGGTTCACAGCAACCCTGTATATAGCATATCAAAGGAGTGGTTGGTGGGTTTGAACCACCAACTTTGTGGTTAATGGTCCAGTACTTAACCTACAGTGTCAAATAATAAAAGAAGCCAGATATTATATTTAATGTCATGTGCCGTATTAATTGACTAGACCATAGAATAATGGCCTAAAAATATACCTCAAATAAAAACAAAGCCTTCAATAATTATTGCCTAATGTAGCTACTACTAAGAAAACAACACAAAACTACCCTACGTAGCTCCCCATCACTACAAACACACTTTACTATTTTAACTTTTATTTTGAGGTCCAGAGAATGGCCATGTGTGGGGTAAATTTGGGACATAAAAAGGAAGCTATCACAGAGAGGAGAAGGAAACAGCAACAACTTCAGAAATCTATAATTGATTTTAGCAAGAAAATCAAAATTAGCCACTATTAATGCTTGGCAAAATGTAAGGGCCAGTGAAAAAAGCAAGATTCTCAGCAAGACTGACTGACACAATGGCTGCAACATTAAGGCTCAAACACAATTATGAGGATGGTATTGGATAGGCAATGTTTCCTTCTGTTGACTCTAAAGTTAATGACTTGGAATTGGATTTCCTCTTTTTACAGAGTAGAGAGATGTACCATCCACTAATTTCTCAACATGAACTATCAGGCAGCAGGTCCTATGTCAGACATCCACAATAATCATAAATACAAAAAGTTCATTGTCTTCCAAAGGAAACACCAATGGGCCAATAGTGATTTTTTAATTAAAACTGAACTTAAAGTTTGGTTCTCAGAGCTTAATTCTTTACTAGTAATATTGGAAGACAACTAGATCTTAATGTGTCCTGGTGTGTTGCTATGGATTAATGTGTCTGATTGCCAAGTCTTTGAACTGCAAGGTCGGTGATTCAAGCTCACCAGGTGCTCCTTGGAAACCCTGTACAGGGTCTCTATGGGTCGGAATCAACTCAATGGTACTTAACAACAACACCTAGGTTTTAAAAGGTTTCTGAGATAATTAAATCATTACATAACCAAGTATCTTTAAAGTCCACTTCTTGTAGCATCCGTGCAATTCTAGCTAACTTCCGAATCCAAAAATGAGGTATTTCAAATTTGTCATACTAAGATATGCAAAAAAAAAAAAAAAGTCAAGGAGATAGAAAATTAAGTCTTTGAAAAACGACACTGTAATAGAAATTAAAGAGTACTGCTGTGGCACTGTTGGTTAATACGCCCAAATGCCAAGTCGTTTGAACTGCAAGGTCAGTGGCTCAAGCTCACCAGCTGCTCCTTGGAAACCCTGTACAGGGTCACTATGAGTCGGAATCAACTCAACTCAATAGAAATTAAAATGTCTCTATGACTTACAATTGATTCTTTCTGATCCTTTTTATCTACAATGCTGTCTTCACCTGTTTTTAGTAATTCTCCCTTGGCTGTTCCCCTACTAAGCACTGTCCCTTCGTCATGCAGGTTCCTCCAGATCTTTCAACCCTCTAGATTTAGCATGAGTCCTGATAGTGTCTCTGAATTTCAGATTCAAATCCAACTATCTATTTCACTTGTACATTTGGAACACAAATAGTCACCTCAAGCTTAACATGCCTAAAACTGAGTTCCTGATCTTCTTCCCAAAGATCTGCTCCTCCTAAGGAATTTCCCACCTTTATCTGTGTCATTTCCATACATCCAGGTGCTTAGCCTAAAGATTATATGTTTTTGTTGTTGTTATGTGCCGTGAAGTCGGTTCCGACTCATAGCGACCCTGTACAGGATTTCCGAGGCTGTAAATCTTTACGGGAGCAGAATGCCTCATCTTTCTCCAGCGGAACAGCTGTGAGTTTCGAGCTGCTGACCTTAAGGTTCGCAGCCCAATTCATAACCACTACGCTACCAGAGCTTCTTATATACTTTAAAATTATATAGTCATTCCATTAATCTGTCTCATAGCCCTTTATTATCAGCAAAGTCAACAGACTGATCTAAAATTTGACCATTTCTCCCAGCCTCAACTGTGACTATTCCTATCAGTTGCTGTTGTTGCTACTAAATGCCACTGAGTAGAATCTGACTCCTAGTGACCCGATACAGGAATTCCAAAAAAGGGCTGGTAAATTTGAACCACTAACATTATGGTTCAAACCAATATTGTGGTCCAGTGCTTTCTACCACAGCGCCACACCAGTAGGCTCCAAATTTCTCTCCCCAATTCCACTTTTTCCTCCTTTACAGCATACTCTATAATACCTTAATAAGACAGTTGTTGTTGTTGTTGTTAAGTGCCGTCGAGTCGGTTCCGACCCATAGCGACCCTGTACAGGGCTTCCGAGGGTGTAAATCTTTACGGGAGTAGAAAGCCTCATCTTTCTCCGGCGGAGCGGCTGGTAGTTTCGAACCGCTGACCTTAAGGTTCGCAGCCCGATTCGTAACCACTACGCTACCAGAGTAGCCAGGATTAAAAGTTTACGCTATGATTTATCACAACAAAATTTAAAAGCAACTAGAATGATAGTTAAAAAGGATTAAACCTGTGCTTCTTCCTTTCTCACACACACACATAAAAAACACAAACATAAACCTCAATGAACTATACAAAAAGCTCAACAATCGGCAATCCCCTCAAAGCATTCTACCTTGAACCTTGTCCCTCATTCTGTCACAGCTAACTAAACTGTCCTTTTCACTGTTCCTAAAATATGTCTCAGGGCCTTTATAGTTACTTCTTGCTGACACTGTTTTCTACCTTATTCTCGCTTCTAGTATCTAGGAGACATTCCTAATCACCAAGCCACTCCCCTGCTCCCAGAACTCCCTTTCCCATCTCATTTTTCTTCATTATCTGTTGCACTTATTTTATTGTTGGCCTCCCCAGCACACTCACATCACCATTAATTTTTTGTTTTTTTGTACAATGACATACTGATAGGACTGGGCACATACTCATTTGTGGTGTAAATCAACTACGTAGAAAAACACTCCACTGCACTAAAATAACCTGCAAAAAAAATACCATTTTGAACATAAACTATCAAATCTTAAAATAATAAAACCAATTTTTTATGGAGTTGAACAAAAATAATTGCTTTCATATGTATATCATCAATGAATGTAAATTGGTATAATCTGACTGGAGAAAATATTAATATTCATACCATATGATCTAAGGTCTTATACCCTGTTTTTAATAGTATTTGTCACTAATTAATTTATGTTTCAAACTCTTTTGGTTCATTTGTAAATGCATCTTCATCACCAGAGATATAAGCACCATGGAGGGAGGCACAGAAGTTCTCAAAACTGCAATCAATACCTCGAAAGATACCTGATCCAAAGGCATTCCAACCTGAACACAGCACTGAAAATATATGCTATTCTTATTTAAAATAAATTATTCACACAAATAATTTATATAAATATTCATATCATCATGCTATGTAAAAACAACGATTAGTGAAAGAATATGCAATGCTGCAAAAATAGATTTCCTTTTATCTCTTAAGAATATTTATTCTGTGCCAAATTACTAGGGTTAACTAGAAACCCTCACCCAAAAACATCACTTTTTGCATCAGAAATGCCTTATATGCATAACAAAATACTTCCATTATATGCAGATTCCATCATTTCTATGGGCATAAACTTTATTGACAATCTCCTCCTAATTACCTAATCCTACAAATTACTAAGACTTTTAAAAGGAAATTAGCGCTTTATTTAGCATTTTATCCATATAAAAAAACAAAAATTAGCATTCTATGTAAAGGAGGTCACTCTAGTAACCAGAATATATTAACATTACCAAACTTAATATCCTATAATCCAACAATACTTGGTTAACAAATGGGTTGCTACTCTTGATAGTATGCATTTGAAACACCTTGATGAATAAAATCTTACTTATGATATTGCTGAGTTTTCTGCATGAGCTTTTCTGGTAAGCCATCTTCATCATCAAACTGCTCCATCGGCTCAACAATGACGGGGCGAGGGGTGCTACACAGGTAGAAAAGGAGGAAGCACATTTAACGCAGTATCTAAAATTACCTTCCTCCAAGAAAATTTTACATGCAAAATATACACAGAACAATTTATCAAAAGTATACTCATAAAGGCAGTCAATAAATAATTATTGAGCCAGACAGTAGATAAAAGGATGAATAACAAAATGCCTGATTTGGGAACAGCGTGGATGCAAGTGCATGGAACCAGCATAACCAAATGTCATTTGTGTTTACAAAGTAAAATTTAAAAAGAGTATATATTAAGAAGCTGAACAAACCCCAAACAGTATAAATCCCGAAGGAAAATCATCAGGACATATCATATAATGAAACTTTCCAAAGTCAGAAAAGGAAACAACCCAGAGGGCAGTTCCAGAAAAACGAAGTTATCCAAAAAGGAGAACCAAGAAGACTAAGCTCGGATTTCTCAACAGAAACCATGTAGGCAAGAAGGCAATGGGATGACACACATAAAACTGAAGGAAAAAACTTCCAACCTCCAATCAAATACCCAGCAAAGCTGTGCCTCAAATAAAAGGGCAAAATTAGAGCAATTACTGATAAATAAAGATTAAAGAAATTTGTAATGACCAGACCAACTTTACAAACAATGCTAAAAAGTGTTCTTTGCACTGAGAACCAACAACAGCAGACAACAACCTGAGATTATCATTCATAACAGCTCAATCCAGATATGTTATTGTTGTTGTTAAGTACCAGCTCATAGCAATGCTGTATAAGGTTTCCAAGGAGCATCTGGTGAGTTTGAGCAGCTGTCCTTGTGGTTCAAACCGACCTTGCAGACCAGTGCTTAACCCCATAGAGCCATACCACGGTATGTATACCTCCAGATATAAAGTATTTAAAACAAACCTACAAGACTGAAAATTGGGAACCAGAGATATCAACGAATAGTGAAATCAACTAAAAAGCAGAAAAAGGGAATAATATAGATACAGAAGTGTCCAATGGCAAGGAATTCGGGTACATTTCAAGATAAAACAGACTGCTTTAAAGTGGTTGTGGTGGTTATGTGCCATGGAGTCGGAATCGACCCACAGCGACCCTGTGGTACAGGGTTTCCAAGGCTGTAAATCTTTACGGGAGCAGAACGCCTCATCTTTCTCCCGAGGAACAGCTGGTAGTTTCGAACTGCTGACCTGAAGGTTCACAGCCCAATTTGTAACCACTACGCTACCAGAGCTCCTTTAAAACAGGGAACAAATATTAATAAATTACAGGGTAACTGCAAAGAAAAACAATACACCTACACATTAAAAATATTTTTAATCATACTTATTTTATAAACATTAACACAACAGAAATGAAATGAAAACAAAACACACAAACAAAATGAACTCAGAATAAAAAAGTACGTAGAAAAAAGAAGCCAGCAGCACCAAGTCATGTATATTAATAATTACATAGAGACAAAGAGAGTAGAATGGATAAGAAAACAAAATCTTTCAATATGCTATCAGAGACATATCAAAAAGATGTAGATAGCCTAAATGTCCATCAACAGACCGATCTTTAATCAAGCTATGAGTACAAAAATACAATGTAATATACTACAAAATGTTTAAGAATAATGATTAATCTGTGAAACACCTCAACCTGGTTAAACCTGGAGGACATTATGCTGAATGAAATTAGTCAATAACAAAAGGTCAAACATGGTACCACACTAATGTAAAAGTTAAAACAAGGTTTTCTTGATAAAACTATCCATAATATGGGGGAATTATTCAAGGGCTGAAGGGTAAACACATGTTAATGAGTGTGACAACAGGCAGGCAATATACAATTAAAGGGAGGCTAGAAGAATAAAGATGAAGCTAACAGAAGACACAGGGATAAACACAATAGTTAAAGTGAGAGAGGGAGATGCAGGAAAGGGATTTCAACCAGGTAATGAAGCAAACTATGAATTAACGAATGCAAAACTGATGATATTCTCTGCAAACCTTCATTCAATTCGAAAAAACAGTATCTAAAAACAATAAAAAAGGAATCCTGGTGTGGAGTAGAAGGTTAAGCACTGAACTGAAAGGTTGGTTTGAATCACAAACTCACTATCTCTTCGGAAACCCTATAAAGAGTTGTTGAGTCCCGGAAGCGACTGGACAGCACTTGACGACAATTCATTTTCTATTTATATAGCTTTCATCACTCCTATGGGAATCATGGTATAGCACTACAGAGATAATGCACTGGACCACGAGATCTGTTTGAACCACAAGGTTGGTGGTTGAAACTCATTCACCACTCCCCGCTATCCCTATACAGGGTCGCTCTGAGTAGGAATCCACTCAGTGGCACTTAGCAACATCATTCCCATGTCACACAAACCATCTCCTCCCTGTGTCTACAGCTGCCTTGTTCCTAAGTGTTTCTTAAAATTTCTAATTTCTTAAAACTGAAACTAGACCTAAAAGATGTCAGTTAAGCAAAAGGATGATAGGAGAGGAGCTGAAGACAACAGCATATTGAAGACATAAATCAGAAGTAGAGGAGAGACGTTTTTCTTCATAGAATGCAGCTTCTTGGATTATTTGTTCAGCATACAAACTGAATAGTATGGTGAAAGAAAACAACCCTGTTGCATACCTTTCTTAATTTTAAAACAATAAGTGTTCCCATGCTCTGTTCCAACAACTGCTTCTTGGCCCAGAAACAGATTCCTCATGAGTACAATTAAGTGTTCTGGAATACTCATACTTTGTAATGTTGTCCATAGCTTGTCATGATCCACACAATCGAAA